TTGTGGGTGAGTTTTCCTGGTGGTTTTGACATTGGTTTCTGTGATTGCAGCTATGCTTATTTATGCATTTAAGGCGTATGATCTAATACACTTAGGTTTAACTACTTCATTCTTTTGACATTCTTTCCAAATTATAAAAAGGATTCTTGGTGTTTTCACTGCCTTGGTAAAGCAACAAAATTGCTGTCCACATAATTTCTTAAAAATACAGAACAGAGTAAGTACTTGTTRAAAATAATTCAAAGGAAAAAACTCTACCCCAGACATTCCCTCCTCCAAGATAACACWCATTTTTGTTCTCTCTCTCCCCTTCTGAGGGAACTTACTATTTTTTTAGAAAAAGATGTTTTTCTGGCTTTTAAAAAACAATATACAGGCCTTAAGAGTGATTCAGCTACAACTTATAATCAACACAGTAGTTCATCTTATTTTTTTAAGCCCTTCTATTTTTGCAGTTATGATTTTAAAAAACTGCACATTTGTGGTATGCTTCAGTTATATTGCATCTTCCACAGCACTTTGAATTCTACAGTAATGCTCATTTTATTCAATGCCTTTTGRTTATTAACTACCAGGAGTCCTTGCTTGATAAAAATCAAAGAAGGCAATTTTCTACCTTTTTCTAATGGAAATTTAAATTATCTTGTCCCTCCAAGGCACAAAAAGCCCAAAGGTGCCCCCACCATCCAAATCAGGCTGGAGAAATTCACTGACTTGTGGGAAACATCCAGAAACATTTTCAAGAAGCTGAAACAAAAATTAAAACTGTGCATAGAGATGGGTGTGCACATCTCTCTCCCCATACTGCATCCATGTCCATTAGCTTGCATATAGAAGTCACACCAAAACATTTTAAGCAACCTTTTCAAACTGGAGGCCATGGTTACATCTGTATTTCTGGAGTCCCTGACACAGTTTTACATGTCCAAAGATGTTTCTAACCAGCAGTAGGAAGAGTGGAGGACACCCCAAAAGCTTTGTGGAGAGAGAAGGGCCCCATCCTGAGCTGTCCTTGAAGTGTCACCTCTGACAGCTCAGCATCCCCACCAGGTACAGCCATCCCCAGGGCAGCTCTGACCCAGCCACACCACCAGAACATTACCCACAGGCACATAAAACACTCTCAATTCTGTAAAATATCTCCATTTACAGCCACACCACAACAATGTCCAGGCTCCTCTCTCCCTTCCCACCCCATCCTTTCCAATCCGCTTCTTCWCATCGAACCCCAACAAAAACAATCCTCCACAAATTCCAACAAACCGCCCCTGAAATTCCCCATAAACCKTACTGCAACCCTGCAGGAAGCTTCTGGCTTTCCACAGCGCCTCTGTACCTAAACACCAGGGGAAATACCTTCACAGAGCACTAATGAAGCTTTTTCCGGACGCAGCAGAGGTGACAAACAGAATGAGAGCAAAGCCAAGATCCCATCTCCACTCCAGGCAAACAACCTCTTCTGACCTCTGGCAGCTCCCACACACTATTAAACAAAAAGTATTCTCTCCATGTTAATGAACCATGTACAATCTAACAGATAACGCTGATGTTAAATAAACATGTTTATATGCGACTCCTAATGCCAGGTCTTAAGCAGCTGCAGACAAATAATTTTAAATGGGATARGATTATGCCTRKGTAATCTTTCTCATCTCATTTTACMCATATTTGRAATAATTAATATACATAATTAAAGCACRAGCAGAAAGACTGAGTGAAAAGTTTTTGGACTATTTTAAATTAAATATTCACTCTGTGACACACTCACTGGAACCATCTCTGCAGCGAACATTATTTTTGGATCCAATTTTCCTCTCACATCTCTTGCAGCAGTAAATGAAGAGCCATTGAACAGCCCAGCAAAGAAGAGAACTGCATCAGGTTTTGAATGCTGTGATCAAAAAATATTTTGCATGAGTCTTAAATCCTTAATCCTGCTTTCTCCTCTCTGCTCCTTCAAACCTCGGGTGGCACCAAATCTACCTGCAAMTGGCAGCACCTGCAAGCCCCAAATGACCCAACCAAGAGCAGCAATTATTTGCATCCTAATTGAAGGGCTTATCCTCACCTGATTAAAACAAGGTGTTTGTTAAACATCATTACTCGAGTTAAGATCTGCAAATAAAGATGAAGTATTGTTTTAAGAATTTGACTGCAATGAACAATTGTTTTCTGATGAGATCTCTTAATGAACACTCCCAACCAGGATGGTCTTTCTGGCTTTTTAGCAGAAAAAGAAGGGAAAGAGATTTGACAAGTTCTCCCTATTCATACCAAAGTGAGTGAAATGCCAAGAGGTCTGAGTACTTGCATTTTTTTTCCATARACATTTACTAAAAAGAAAATAAATCTTGCAATTTCACTAAATTAAACCACCAAAAAGGAGGAAGTATTTAAGTCTGAATGGCTTTACTTTAGTATACACCATTGTTTGTAACTCTGAATGTATTTTTCTTCCTATTTTTCTGTTCTGTGAAGTACAATGCAAAATTTAGTTAAAAGAACMTGATTGTTAATCCAGGAGACTCCACCATGCACTAATCAAATTTATATTACTACTGCTGTGAAAAATACACACGTACAGGGTAACGAGCTATACACTGAAAACGGCAGGATGAGATTTCCCTGCTTGGTCTACCAAATGACCCCTCTGCTTACAGAATATATTTAAAATCTTCACATTAAAACTGCAGTGTTCCATGGTTTATGAAAAGGATTTGAATTTGCAACTCTTTTTAGCAGTCTGTCCTGAATAAAAGTTACCCCAGCCAGGCAAAATTAACTCAAAAATATTTTCTTAGCATTCTAAGAACTTCTGCTAGTTTTCACAGATTTATAAAAGCATTTTTCACTGCGTAAGTAATCTTAACAATCATTTCCACAGATTAGGTCTAACAACCTGTGAATTTATTGCAGAAGGAATTTACTGCAAGGAATAATTAGTCTTCAGCACTGTTCATGCTTGTTCTCCGGCTGAAGACACCTTAAGACCATCTRGTTACTGCAAAATTTGGCACAGGAGAAACAAATCTTACTGAAGAGAATTATAGCTGATTTCAGAATAGCTGTTTTACTGCTACACATCATAAATAACAGTTGGGAAGACAGCAGAAAATTACTAACGTCTTTAATTGTTTTCTTTGTCAGCAGTGTGTACATATACACACTGGCACACAAACACAGCCAGGCAGACTTCAGCCCGATGCCTTGMGGGCTTGAAATTAAACATGCAACTAATATTTGCAGGATTAATAGCTAAATTATTACATCTTCAGGGGAAAGAATAAAAAAGAAAGGCACATTAACCAGCTACGCACAGCAACACAGCGACACACRAGACCCTTTAAGTGATATTCTGAGATCAAGTTCTTTGTGAGAATACCTGAGTTTAACTCCTTCTTATAATTCAAGGCATATCCGCACACACCGTGGAGTTGAATATGGGGCTTATTGTTGGAGGGGGAGTTATCAACAACATTTTTATTTCTCCCTAATGAAGCTTTTCTAATGGAACCTAAGACTGCCAAAGTAGTGAGATATTTGAAACAGGAACCCATTTCAAAAATTTCAACCGAATAATGGTCATAGGATTAGCGAGTCATGGGAATCGAGTCTCCACGTACTATTTTAAAAGAAAATGAGCGAGGGGAGTGGGCTAAACAAAGCAAAGCAAAACAAATCGATAAGCGTAAAACCAAAAGCATACACCGTTCATTATTTAGCCAAATGTTTTGACCTGTTGGTGGGTGAGTAGATGAGGCAGAAGAATTACGTGGACAATCTGACTCCGTAACTTCAAAATTCAATTGCACACCATAGATTCAGATTTTTTTTTTTTTTTTACAATTAAGAGCTTTTAGTCAGAATAAATAAGTCAAGTTATCAGCTGCTGTACCACATCAAGTGAATTTTCAAAATATGCCTAAAACGTTTTTGGAATTTCTCCAAAGCTGTGAATACTGATTATTTTCAAGGCATTTGTACTGCAAACCTTTCCTACTTGCATGTGTTACATCTGAGGCCACGATGCCTTCAATTCCAAAGCAGAAATAAAAATTCAGCTTTGTTAGGGAACAGAAACACTTTTCCCAGGTAAAAAAAGGATGATGAGAAAGAATTTATCCTGTCTGAAGGAACAAGTAACAAAACAATGCAATGCTAAACATATGAAACTATTCGGRAAGCATTCGTTTAGACACAGAACTATCAGTTTAAATGTATGCCATCTTTTGCGGAYGAGACTGCCCTAATACACGCAGATGTGGACCAGCATAAAGAAAYTTAGACATTTCTCAATAAATTGGGGGAGAGGAAGGGGAGGGACCCTTCTATGGACGGCACTGCAGAGATAAGGAATTCTCAGTAAATTAATAGTCCACAACAGAGACTAAACAATAAACTGTTCCTAACACTTCCTTTAACGGAGCTCAGGGATGCGTGAATTTGATACAGCGCTGAACAAAATTTCTTTAATATTTGATATAGACCCATAAACTGTTTATTGGTTCACTACATGTATTTTAGCAATCACAACTTTATACGAGAGAAAATACCATTATTTGAAATGTCTGAACACAGTAGCTGTATACCATAATTTCCTTCAGAGGCCAGTCACTGCGCTCAAGCACAATTTACCACTCAAAAAAGTTTACTTAAACTGCACAAATCTTATACAAGTTTTTCTCACAGAAGCMGCCGCGGCAAAGTGCAGCGGCTCATTTAAACGCACGCTTCAGCTTTTAAAATAATTAATAAGCGGGGCTCGCTGGACGGTAAAATCGAACCGCAATGAGCTCCGTCTGCCGCTGCTCAGTCCCGACTCCGGACCCGCGGAGCAGCTCCGCGCCCGCGCTCCCCGCGCTCCGCCGCAGCCGCCCCCGACGGGCTCCGAGCTCCGCGCCCCCGTCCCGCACCCGCGGGCGGCAGAGCCCCTCCAGCAGCCCGTACCCGCGGTACCCGCCGGCCCCTCCGCGGGCGCGCAGAGCCCGTGCCCCACTCACCGGCGGTGCAGCGCGGAGCCGCGGCTCTGCGGAGTGTGCGCGCCCGCCGCGGGCGCAGTGAGCATGTGCGAGGCAGGCGCGCATGCCCGCGGAAGGGAGCGGAGCGGAGCGGAGCGGGGCGGTGGCTCCGCACCCCGCGCTGCCCCCGG